GACACAGACAGCACCAGGTATAGACCTAATGGACAGATTCAAAATACTGACACACATCCAGTTTTATCCCAGCTGTTGGGCAGTCTTTATTGTCAAGCCCTGAATACTTTGTTTTTAAGATTGTTTGCAATCTCTTAGCAATATCATGCTTAACATTACATTACATTACATTTAGTCATTTAGCAGATGCTTTTATCCAAAGCGACTTACAAATGAGGACAATAAAAGCAGTCAAAACTAACAAAAGAGCAACGGTATATAAGTGCAAATGACAAGTCTCGGTTAGCCTAACGCAGTACACGTAGCAGGGTGTATATATATATATATATATTATACACACACATATATACACACATACAAAGAAAAACAAGTAGATAGAATAGAAAAAGTAGAAAGCTAGTGTGCTTGTTTGTTTTTTGTGTTTAAAAAAAAAAAAAAGATAAATATAGATAAAGTAGAATTAAAATAGAATAGAAAGTGTTAGAGTTAGAGGGTCAAATAAAGTTGGAACAGATGGGTTTTTAGTAGTTTCTTGAAGATGGTTAAGGACTGCTCGGACTGAGTTGGGTAGGTTATTCCACCAGGAGGGAACAGTTAATGAAAAAGTCAGTGAAAGTGATTTTGTGCCTCTTTGAGATGAACAATAAAGTGACGTTCACTTGCAGAACACAAGCTTCTAGAGGCACATAACTCTGAAGTAATGAATTTAGGTAAAGGGGTGCAGAGCCAGTGGTAGTTCTGTAGGCAAACATTAATGCTTTGAATTTAATGCAAGCAGCTACTGGTAGCCAGTGCAAACTGATGAACAGAGGTGTGACATGCATTCTTTTCGGTTCATTAAAGATTAATCTTGCTGCGGCATTTTGGATTAATTGCAGAGGTTTGATAGAAGTGGCTGGAAGACGTGCCAAGAGAGCATTGCAATAGTCCAGCCTGGATAGAACAAGAGCTTGAACAAGGAGTTGTGTTGAATGTTCTGAAAGAAAGGGCTGGATCTTCCTAATGTTGTATAAAGCAAATCTGCAGGACCGGGCAGTTTTAGCAATGTGGTCTGAGAAATTCAGCTTATCATCAATCACACAGAGAAGAGAAGTGGTCCAAGAACTGAGCCCTGAGGCACCCCAGTAGCTAGATGTTGTGACTTGGACCTCACCTCTCCAAGATACCTTGAAGGACCTATCTGAGAGGTAAGACTCAAACCACTGGCGTGCGGTTCCTGAGATGCCATTTTCCAATAGAGTTGGCAGGAGAATCTGGTGGTTCACCGTATCAAAAGCAGCAGACAGATCCAGCAAAAGTATAGAAGATTTGGAAGCTGCTCTTGCCAGTCTTAGGCAGAGGCGGACAAAGTACACAACTCCATTACTTGAGTGAAAGTACAGATACCGCTGGTCAAATATTACTCCATTACAAGTAAAAGTTGTAAAGACAGATTTTTACTTAAGTAAAAGTACAGAAGTACTTGCTTTTAAAAGTACTTAAGTACCAAAAGTAAATTTCCTTTTTTATGTCAATGCACTGTTTTATTGTTGTACGTACTAGTACTTGCAATACCTTTGAAGCAACTTAGAATACATTACACCTACTGAATACACTGACTAGCTTGTAGTATCTATGGAATAAAGAGCTTTTAAAATGTTAAAAACCTATGGGGAAAAAACTAAACAAAAAAATTATTATTTAACACCCCTACAGCCCCACAAAAGCAGGATGGTAGTGATCTCACACAGCTCTGACAGTGTGTGCACACATCTATGTGTAACCATTCATCCACATTTGAACAGAGTGGACAGTGAAATTGCTGTAAATACAGACCGATAAGGAAGAAAATAAAAAATCAAACCTGCTTTAAAACCCAGCAACACAACTGTAGCTGTATAACTTTACAACAGAAGCACTGCTTTAACAAAAAAATCAAAACAGCAAGACCGACAAAGCATCACAAGAAATTTTTTTTAAATGCTGTCGAATCGCTCTCGCTGTACTTTGATGTCATACACAAAATGGTCTGCAGTGCTGCTTCAAGTCCAACACCTATTGTGTTTTCTTAGGAGACGCACAACAGTTCTTCTGTGGCTTTATAGGTAATATTTTCACTTACACAATTTAGCAAAATCAGACAATATCGTGTCTAATATATACCACAATATTAACTTCTTACTATTGAATTGCTGCAAATTAATATCACATTTGCAACTGGTCAGTGTTCAAAAAATGCTGGGAAATCTCTTCATGTAACCCTACTAGAGTGATTACTGATAAACTGTCTGAAAAAAGAAAGTCACGTTTTAGAGAAGAAAAAAATCATCCACTGACTTTCAAAGCTGCTAACGACTTTCTACTTCGAGGATCTTGATAGAAATGTAGTGGAGTGAAAAGTACAATATTTGTCTTTCAAATGTAGTGAAGTTAAAGTCATAAGTTCCCAGAAAAAATTATACTCAAGTAAAGTAC